CAGGTGTAAAAAGGACGTGATTGCCCAACGATGCCATTTGCATCTTACAGGTGTTGCTACAGAGAGAACAGTTCTTTATTACATGATAGCATAATAAAGATTCGTACAGAGACACGGCGCTCACGTCTATACACAATTCTCGGGGGCAACCTTCAACCTTGGGAAAAAAAAAAAACATCACGAGAAAATAGTGTCCGGAAACGAAGAGCTTTGCCCAGCCGCACAGCCTTGCAAAGATACAAGGAGAGCAGAGCAGGGATAATCATTGCCATCGTTATCATAAAGTAACCTTGAAATGCTTCCTTCCAGCTCTTTGAAAATGGGAGCCGAGTTCCCTATGGAACAAGGAGGGCGGGTGTGAGAGAGGCATCACAATAAACAGCAGAGGAGAAGCCCTTATATGTCCCTGTTCAATAGGTAAGGAAGGGGTTTACCTGAAGAACTCTCCGCAAGGAATGGTGGGGTTGGGATTTTTATTTCAACAAGAAGAGTGGTGGGTTGGAGCCCACTAAGGCCCCCATTATTGATGGTCTCGGTTTCGCCCATGCCAGGCTGAAGTTGCTACTACTCATTGCAAGGGCAGGCAAGGACGGCTGGGCAGGGGGCTTCTGCCATGGGGGAACAGCCCAGGAGATGTTGGGCTGATATCTGTGTCAACTAAAAAGAGACTCCTTTGGTCTTTTTAGCTGCCAGAAAAAGGGAGTGTGGGGGAAAACAAGTCATTCTTGTAATGCCTAGATAATCAACTCAGCAGCCCAAAGTTGTCGGAGCATAAGAAGGTTATTGGAGAGCATGATGGATGACTCTTGGAGAGGGATGTGTCCCATTGGAGAAGTCACATACAGGGGGGTGGGGGAAAGACCAGGGTCAAGGGGGAAATGGATGATGGGATTGAGTACCGGCTACATCCAGCCATGCACCAACATGGCAGTTTCTAATAAACCGGTTTACCTTTTCTGAGATTTGGCTGGAGACTTTTGCTTTGAATGAGGGTGGATTTGTTGGAGCCCTGACAATCTGAGGAGGCCTTTTGTTCATTTCCAGCTCCGAGCATCTCCACTCAGGGGCTACGGGAAAGGCTCGGCTGGACACCCATGGGGGGAACCAAATGGATTGGGGCATTTCACTGGCCTGATGGCTTCCTGGAGCAATGAGCTTGCTCTCTGCTAAATGTCTATGGAGATTCTCCATCATCCAGGTCATGGTTGTCCCAAAGGTGCTTTTTGAAAGAGGCAACTGGACTTACTGGTTTTTCTCTGAAGACGTTTTGCTTCTCATTCGAAAACCCTCTTCAGTTCTGACAGGATAGTGGGGAAGAGCTGAAGAAGCTTCTTGGATGAGAAACGAAACATCTTCAAAGAAAAACCAGGAAATCCAGCTGCCTCTTGAAGAAAAACACCTTTGGGACGTTGCTCTCTACTATAGAAGCTTGCCACCATGCAGATCTGAATGGACCCCGCTAAGACTTGGGGGATACTGAGCCGAGTCCACCCTTTACCCATGAAAACTCATGGACTTCTTGGAAACTGTCTCTTCTACTCTACATCCTTCTCTGTCATGGCTCAGTGGAGCCTGGTTTGGAGGAAGAGGAGGAGCAGGAAGAGGAGGAAGAAGAGGAGGAGGAAGAGGAGCAAGAGGAGAAATAGGAGGAGGAAGAAGAGGAGGAAGAGGAGGAAGAGGAAGAGGAAAAGAGAAGGAGGAAGAGGAAGAAGAGGAGGAGGAGGAAGAGGAGGAGCAGGAGGAGGAAGAGGAGGAGGAGGAGGAGAAGAGGAGGAGGAAGAGGAGGAAGAGGAGGAAGAAGAAGAGGAAAAGGAAGAGGAGAAAGAGGAGGAGGAGGAAGAAGAGGAGAAGAAGGAGGAGAAGTTGGGGTGGCACATCTCCTTTAGCATACTTGGAGAGGCCAGGGGTTGAGGATGAGGCTGTCCCAGTCCCCTCAGGCATTGGGGGAAGCGATCGAGCTGCCTGCCTTCAGAGACACGGGGCAGGATCGGCTGCAGACAGGCAGTGGTGTGGATAGGCAGTGGATCCCCTCTGATGAGGAACAGCTGCCTCCCCCATTTGATCCAAGGGCACGGAGAAGGGAGCATAGCAGTGGTGGTATTTTGGCCCAGTTTGGCCAAACCGGTAGCTCCAAGGGTCATCCGTGAGCAACCAGTTCGCTCCGACGATCAGCTGCTGGGCCCTCCCACCCACCCCGGCTCTATTCTGTGCTTTATTTCCTGCTTTTCAATCTCAGCTGCTTCACAACGCACAGCCGATTGTCGCGCGTCAGTTGTTTTACACACAGGGCTTGCAGCAGAAGGTGAGTTGCAAACGCTGTGCATGCACACACAAAGAGTGCGCTCACACCAAACCGGTAGGAAAAAAATTCAAAACCCACCACTGGAGCATAGGCAAGCCCAGAGGAGGCTACTCAGGAGAAGGTTGTCCCTCCCCAGGAACACTGGACTTTGCCCTGTGAGCTTGCACCTTCTCTTTGGACTTCTTTTGTTGTTTACTGGCTTTGGGGGACTGAGGCAGTGGTTCGGTTCGGCCTGGTTCTGCCGAGCTGGTAGCACCGATGAGCAGCGGAGGCCAAACCGGTTCTCTCCGCCACTCTGCTGTTGGGCCAACCCGCCCACCCAGGCTCCCATACTCACCTTTATCCCCTGCTTTTGAAGCACAGCTACTTTGCGCGGCACAGCGGAGTGCTGCGTGGCAGCTGCTAAAGTCACCGGGAGAGTGCAAGCTTGCAGGAGGCGAGTTAAAACCCCTCTGTGCCTGCACAAAGTGCATGTTTTTCATGCACACACAAAGTGTGTGCATGTGCGCAAAGAGTGCCCACCAAGCCATTCCCACCGAACTGGTGGTAAAAATCTTGGAATCCCACCCCTGGACTGAGGGTGGCTGCCTTCAGGGGCATGTGGGGTGGAGTCTTAGCAGACCCTGGCAGGGCCGTCTGGTGTGGCCTTTAATCAGCGCAATAAAGGTCTCCAGGGATGCTTGCTTCTGCCTAGGCACCCTGGGCCATCACAGGGTCATTGCTTGCGGGGGGGGGGGGGAAGGGAAGAGTGTTCCTCACACAAGCTTGCCTTGAACTCCTGGAGGAACTCTGAGATAGCAACCCAACAAATCAAGTAAACAAAACATAAACATAAGCTACTCTGCTCCCAGACGTTTGACCAATAGGCAGCAGACAAGAAGACGGTGTGGAACAGGCACCCGATGCTGGGTAGGGTGAGGGCACTTCCTCACTTTTTTTTTTTTGCCACTCAGCTCTAGAGAGAGGGCTTCAGCCCCCACCCTGCTTGCGTGGGTCACCTATTTTCCCAAGAGAGCTGAAATGGAACGAAAGACTCACTGGCTACGTTTGCAAATGGATACCTGGAGAGCAGGAGGCAGGAGAGGGAGCAAATCTGTTCCTCTTGTCATGGCGTCTTTCCTTTGGGGCACCAGGCAAGCCCGGAACAGATTGACCCTTCCCAAATGCCACCCGCAAGCTCAGTGACAGCTCCCTGAAATGAAGGCAGGGATGGGTTACTACCGGTTCGTAATAGTTCGGACAAACCGCATGTTAGGTATGCATCTAATTCACCGAACTGATAGTTGCAGTGACTGGCTGGCCCCACCCACCCCTCCCTTCCCCTCCCCTCCCCTCCCAGGAGTCTCCACACAGCCTGTTTTGGATCCCAGGTAAGTGCAGGGCCCTCAAAAAGGTTCGGAGAGGGTGAAAAACGGGCCTCCCAGGCAGGGGTGGGATTCTACCGGTTCAGACCGGTTCTGTAGAACCGGTTGTTACGATTCTGTGCAGTTCGGGAAGCTGGCAAATTGCGCTCTTGGCTGGCCCCGCCCCTCTCTGTCAGTCTCTCCCCTCCCCACCCAGTCAGTCCTTATTGCACATGTGCGACATCACATGCATGCCCGACATTGCTGACTGCATTCTCCCCCACTCAGTCACTCCTTAAGCTATTTCTTTTTTTTCCCCCGACGATCAGCTGTTCTTACAATCAGCTCTGCCAGAATCCTCCCGGCTGTCTTACTGCTTCACCCAGGAGGCTTCCCTGAGGCCCAGGAGGCAAAAAGGGGCGCACGGGGGTGGTGGTGGTGCTGCGTGCTCTCCTCCCAGCACTCCATTTTTTTGCCTTCCTAGATCTCAGGGAAGCCTTCTGGGAGCAAAAACTTCCCCTCAGGAGCTTCCCTGAGGCCAGGAAGCCCCCAAAACGGAGTGTGGGGTGGTGCTGTGTGCCCCCCCTTGCTCAGGGAAGCTTCCAGGGAGTAAACACCCCCCTGGGAGGCTTCCCTGAGGTCCAGGAGCCCCAAAAATGGAGTGCTGGGGGGGTGCTGCAAAAAAAAAGAAGCCATGCCCACCCAGTCACATGGCCCTATACCAGTGGCCCAGCTAGCCACTTCCAACAGAACCAGTTGTTAAAAAATTTGAATCCCACCCCTGCTCTCAGGGGCTTTGGAAGGCCAGAAATGAGCCCATTTCAGGCTTCCGGAGCCCGTGGGGCCCGTTGTTCACCCTCCCGGAGCCCAGGGAGGGCAAAAATGGACTCCCCACCATGGTGTAGGAGGCGGACTAGGCCACGCTCACCATGGCCACGCCCACCCAGCAACCGGGCAGAGAACCAATACATTTTCTGAAGCCCACCCCTGAATAAAGGGGTTCCCAGAAAGGCCATGAAAAGTCAGAGGAAAACCGGGGCAGCTTTGTCCAGGCCTCTTTACCCCTTGGATTCTAGCACTCAAGTTTAGCAACCACGGAATATCCCTGTGAAAAAGAATTGTCTCTGGTGCAGAGAAGTGTGTAGAAATCTGCACCTGCCCCCCCCACCCCCCGCGGCTCTTTTTTGAAGGCAGTTTCCATAAAAATGGGCACAGGCATGTCCTCTGCTGGTCTCCAGCAACGCTGCTTCCAAGCTGGGAAGAAACTTGCTTTCCATCGACCGCCAGAGTGGACCTGAAGAAGCCACACTGGAGGCACGAAAGCACCATGCCGCAGTCTTTCTTGAACCCTGCGGTCACCAGGCAAGTGGAGGGATCGCCTTCGGGCTGCACAGGGGTTCGCTGGCCTGCACGTCGTTGAAGGCCCGCTGTAGAGAGAAGAGAATCATAGGGCTGAAAGAGATCTTGGAGGTCTTCTAGCTCAACCCCTGCTGGAGGTAGCAAGCAAACAAACAACCAGATCCGATCAAGATCAAGTGAGGTACTAATACCGCTCTGTAAAGCCTTAGTAAGACCACACCTAGAGTACTGCATCCAGTTTGGTCACCACACTATAAAAAAGATGTTGAGACTCTAGAAAGAATGAAGAGAAGAGCAACCAGGATGATTAGCGGACTGGAGGCTAAAACATATGAAGAACGGTTACAGAAACTGGGCCTGGCTAGTCTAGTGAAGAGAAGGACCAGGGGAGACAGGAGAACAGCCTTCCAATATTTGAGGGGCTGCCACAAAGAGGAGGAAGGGGGTCAAGCTATTTTCCAAGGCACCTGAAGGTCAGACAAGGAATAATAGATGGAAACTGAACGAGGAGAGATTCAACCTGGAAATAAGGAGAAATTTTCTGACAGGGAGAACAATCAACCCATGGAACAGAAGTCACCTTCGGAAGTTATGGGAGGTTCATCACTGGAAGCTTTCAAGAAGAGACTGGACTGCCATCTGTCAGAAATGATGTAGGGTCTTCTGCTTGGGCAGAGGGGTTGGACTAGATGACCTACAAGGTCCCTTCCAACTCTGATTATCGGTTATCTATTTAGACTAGGGGAGTCCAACCTTGGCCATTTGAAGACTTGTGGACTTCAACTCCCGGACTTGTGGACTTCAATTCCCAGACTTCAACTCTGGGAATTGAAGTCCGCAAGTCTTAAAGTGGCCAAGGTTGGACTCCCCTGGTCTAGGCCATTAAGGAGATTTAAAGACCCAACACCACATTTTCATATCTGTAGGGACTGGAAAACCCAGAAGGAGGCAACTCAACACACTCCAGTTCACTGCATGGTAGGTGTGTACGGAGAAGACACAGGCAAGCTTGAATGAGCTGTCTGAGCCACAGATAGCCCTCTGCTTCTGGGGTCTCCAGCCTGAGGCTTGTGCAGGTGGCCACGCCAGGTTCTTGCTGCCTTCTGCCACCCGGGGCCACAATTTGCCCCCAAATAAGCGTGGAAGCTGCAGTTACAAACACGACAGTCTGGAGGACATGAGGAGAAGGAGTCAAAAGCTCAAGCGGACCAGAATGGCTTCATACCAGTTCAAGTCTCCTTGCTTGCTTGACTGGGTCAACCAACCCATTTGTTCTTTTTGCATACAACATGTTCCCCTCATCAGGGCCATGTCCACATGCATGGATACTGCAAACATTTCAAGATCAAAGAAGTTTGATGCACTGCTGGCTTAGAGATTTGATGCTCTTAGCTGTCCAGTCTGGGCTGTTAGACATCTTGTCTTTGGTGAGGGGACCATCTCCACCCCCCCATAATCCTCTAGTACTGGGGCCTCTAAATTTGACCACTTTAACACTTCCAGACTTAAAGTCTGGCTGGCTGAGGAATTCGGGGCGTTAAAGTCGTCCACTTGCTGAGTTCGGAGTATAATCTGCTGTATCCATCCGTCAATCAAGTCAAGGACGGCTCAAGCTGAGGATGAATGAGTCAGGGGAGGCCAATCTGCACCAAACTGATACAGATACAGATTAACAGAGTCGGAAGGGACCTTGTAGGTCATCTAGTCCAACCTCCTGCCCAAGCAGGAGACCCTATACCATTTCTGACAGATGGCAGTCCAGCCTCTTCTCGAAAGCCTCCAGGGATGAAGCTCCCACAACTTCCGAAGGAAACTTCTGTTCCATGGGTTGATTGTTCTCCCTGTCAGAAATTTTCTCCTTATTTCCAGGTTGAATCTCTCCTTTTGTGATGACCCCGGGTGGGATACAAAAGCAACAAAGTCACAAAAAACAGGTGAAGTCCCTTTAATACCTTCAACTTGGCTTCAAAGGTCCAAATATCATTGACTGGAGACAAAAAACCTCTCCCACAAATAGTTGCTAAAAGGAGGAAATGTCGTTCAAACTAAAAATACCTATAAATTATAAATAGAAAAAACAACACAAAACACACTGAAGCAATTAATGAGACAAGGCAGGATAAGGGCTTGAAGACGTCCACAGATATCGAAATGCACACACTGGGAAGGATGCCAGACTCAGATAAGAACTGAAAGACTAGAATTATTTCATGCTTTGTTTCCAGCACTGTCCCATGCACAGTTTGTCCTTTCAAACAGTCCTCACAGCTGCAGCCCATGAAGGGGATCAGGGCCCCTTCCTCCCCCATAAACCACACTATTCAGATTTCTCCCTTATCCACTCCTCCCTGTGTGCCCTAAGATGAAGAGGGGATGGGCCTAGGTCCCCTTCCCCAGTTTCCTCCACAACCTCCAGAGCCACACTTCCACTCCCTGTCGGCTGTTCCTCCTCTCCCTCGGAGTCAGACTCCAACCACGGCATGACACTCTAGTCAGTTTCTATCCATTTTTCCTTGTCTGGCCTTCGGGGGCTTTGGAAAATAGCTTAACCCGCTCCTCTCTGTGTCAAGCCCTCAAATATTGGAACATTACTATCTTGTCAGAGGAAACCCACCCTCAATTCCAGAAGACCTGCTCTTATCATTCAATCCCCTGCCACCCCCCCGGTGGTCTTCTTATTCCCTGCAAAAGGGGTGTGTGACTTCTCCCTGTTTCTTTCATGAGGAGCAGCAAAAGAATTTTGCAAACAAACTTCAACTGGGGAGTGGCAGAAAGAAGAATGTGTCTAACCGGCAGAGGCAGCTAAATTATCCAGGATCCAAGCCAAGGAGGTGGGGGGGGGGGGGTCAAATTACAAACGCTGAAGGCAAATCATCCCGAAGGTAGGAATGACTTCAGGAGCTCCTTTCGGAAGCTGCTGAGGTAGCAATGGTCTCTTTCTTAGGCTATGCATACTCAACTTCATCCATCCCACCGTCCGATGCAGTCACTTTTCCCGATCTAGGATTGCTAGATCCAGTGACATCAGTGTGGGGCATTCCTTTCTCCAGACTTTTCTCTCAAAAAAATGGCCACGTGATCCACAGGACGCTCTTTGCAACAGAACACAGGACCGGGTGGCAATGCCAGGACAAGCATGTGCAAAGTCCTCCCCAACAGCTCTTCCGCCACTCAACCTTCCCCCCAGTTTTCCCTGCTGGATCCTTTTTTGGGGGGGGGGGCTATGAAACCATCCCAAATGTTTAACTCAGGGGTGTCCAAACTTGGCAACTTTGAGACTTGTGGGCTTCCAAGCTGGCTGAGGAATTCTGGGAGTTGAAGTCCACAAATCTCAAAGTTGCCAAGTTTGGAGGCGATCCCCGGTGTAACTGCCCAGCGCAAGAGATGGAAAAACCCAACATATTTGCTGCCACCGTCTCCTCTTTCTGGCCGGCGTCTAAGTGACAATCCCCAACCAAGGAGTTTCAAGTGGTCACGGTGTCTTTAGAAAGGCCGCAAGCTCAAATTGGCCCAGTCAAATCTGTTTGGGTTTTCTCAAAGAAAAGTAATGGAGCCGTGTTCTAAGCCAGAAGAGCTCCAACCATTTGCGCCTCAGGGACCGGTTCTGTGGACAGGGGTTTTTCCGTGGACCAGAGGGGGCGTGGTTTCGTGTGCTGCCTGCATCCCGTGGATGGGGCTTTGCTTGTTTGCATGGACCTATTTCTGGCATGCTGTGGTACAGTCCATGGACCGGGGGTTGGGGGCCCCTGTTCTAGGCCACATGGGGTCTACCCGCTATCCCAGGGATGTCTAACTCAAGGCCGCATCCAGCTCCAGGATGCTTAGATCTGGCTCGCAGGGCCATCCCGGAAACAGCAAAGGACCTGCCTATAGGGCCTCTGACAGCAAAAACAGAACTCCTCCCGGGATCCATTTTTGCTGCCAGAGGGCCAGCAAAACGAACTAAAAATAAAACAAAAAGAGAAATGTTTCCCCTTTTGTATTTGAGCATACAAGAAGGGAGAGGAAAGAAGAAAGAGGAAAGACAAAAAAAAAAAAAGAAGGAAAATGGGAAGAGAGCAAGGAAGGAAAAAGAAGGGAAGAGGGGAAGGAGGAAGAAACGAAAGAAGAAATCTTTCCCCTTTTGCATTTGAGCATGCAAGAAGGAGAAAGGGAAAGAGGAAGGACAAAGAAAAAGAAAGAACGATGGGAAGAGAGCAAGGAAGGAAAAAGAAGGGAAGAGGGGAAGGAAGAAGAAAGGAGAATGAAGACAAAAGGAAACAGAAGAGAAGGAAGGAAGGAAGGAAGGAAGGAAGGAAGGAAGGAAGGAAGGAAGGAAGGAAGGAAGGAAGGAAGGAAGGAAGGAAGGAAGGAAGGAAGGAGATTATAATGAGAGGGAGGGAGGGTCTGAATGAAGTCCTGCCTTAGCACTTGGCTACCACAGATGCCCCTGACACAAGTGATATCGAGCCTACCCAGCCACGCCCACCCCAGCCATGCCCCCTCACCCCCCCATCAAACACAACCTTGATGTGGCCCTCAATGAAATCGAGTTTGACACCCCTGCCCAATCCTGATCCTCCAGGAGCAATGCAAGTGATAAAACAAAACGTTGATCACAGCCCCAACCACGGGGTAACTAAAGTAGAATAAAATCCTGGGGATGCTCACCTCAAATTTGCTCATGAACTCAGCAAAAATGCCAAAAAAGTCCTCCGAGGTTGTGGCTTTGGAGTCTTCCCCAAAGAAGGATAAGACTTTCCTGAATTCTTCCATGGCTTTGTGCTGGAGATCATCGAGGGATTGGACGGTGGGATCTGCACTCTCCAGGAAGGCCTGCAGTGGGTGGCTAAGGACCAGTGGTGGGATTCAAAAATTTTTACTACTGGTTCTGTGTGGGCGTGCTTTAGTGGGCACGGCTTGGCTTGGTGGGTATGGCAGGGAAAGGATATTCTGCAAAATCCCCATTCCCTCCCCACCCCACTAACCTGCTTTCCAGCTCTGTTCTCCTATGCAGGGCAACCAAAGAAGACTCAGCCTATCAGCTGGGACTCAATGGGAGGCGGAGAATAGATGGGGTTGGCGGGGCCAGTCAGAGGGGATATTTGCCGGTTCTCCGAACAATTCAAAATTTCCACTACCAGTTCTATAGAACCGGTCAGAACCGGTTGAATACCTCCTCTGCTAAGGATGGACAAACAGGACCGGCTGGCTTTTGCCCTCAAGAAGAAAAACTGACTCTAAAACCGATGGCAGTTCACACCTTCTGACATTCTTAATTATCCAGGTAAGAAAAGAAAAGAGCCAGTTTAGTGCAGTGGTTATAAGGCACCTGGCTAGAAATTGGGAGACTGAGAATTCCAGTCCCACCTTGGGCATGAAGCCAACTGGGTGATTTTAGGCCGGTCACTCTTTCACAGCCCTAGGAAGGAGGCAATAGCAAACCTCATCTGAAAATCAATTGCCAAGACAACTGTAGGGATAAATCCAGGCAGTTCAAAACTGTCTTGAAGAAGCAAATCACCCAGCTCCAAAAGCATCCATTATTCTAGAGGGGCTTCTCTGATACCAACACCGACACTGCACAAGGGTCAATGGCAACTCATTTGGCCCCTCGCTACAGCGCCAGGCCATGGGCCCCTCTACTGTCACTCCAATGGGGGCAGCTCTCGAGGCGAGAGAGGGACAAGCAAAGGCAGCCGACCCTCCCAGGGGAGACGGGAAAGAGCAGAGATTCTAACCTCATTCAACTATCCTCCAGCTCCCAATTAGTGACGCCTCTCACTATTCACGCCACCATAATTTGGTTACAAAATTAGGAATTTGGGAAACATTCATCCACACCACCACCACCCCTCCAATGAAGGATAGATATTTTCAACACCAGCCTGGGAAAAAAAAAATAAAGAAATTTCAGCCCAGATGTGTCTTAGAATCATTTAGTGGAGTTTGGTGGATGATAAATGTGGCAAGGGGAACGGAAGGACTCTGGGAGATTAAAGTTTCTGTTTCCAGATATAAAACAGCCATTTTATAATAGGAATGAGAAGTGTTTTCCCACCCCCCACCCCTCAAGAAGCCTCCCACCACCATCTCTCCATTTTGGTCCCTGAAATCTGGGCCCGTCCATTCCAGTGCGAAGAAACTTAGCACCCACCGCTCTTCCTAGAAGAATGAAATATTCTAGGAAATATTACAAAGGCAGAATATTACACCCCCCTGGATGAGAAAAGGAGAAACGTGCTCTTGGAAAGCGCCCCCTACTTTTGTTAACAGCCCCAGAAAGACAAAGGACATCTTATCTACAAGACAAAAGATCTCCAGCTCCAGGGTGATGGGATTACCCCTCACTCAGATCCAAACAAGGACAAAGCCATTATTAAGCCACCATAGGAATTGCCCAAAGCCCCTTCATTACATAACCCAACAAGATTCAACCAAGCCTGGGACACAGACAGCTTACAAGTTTAGCTGCATAGCCCTCTGGGAGTCTGACAACCAATAGGATACCTGCCCTTGCCACAGGAACAGGAAGCTCAAAGGCAAGGCTCAAGAGAGGGTATAAATATACATCTCTCTCCACTCCATGTGGTCAGTTGCACCAGGACCATGTGCTTAATGGTTCTGCTCCATTAAACCATCCTTCCAAGTATCCTCCATGTTTCCAGTGTCTTTCTCCCCACTTGGAACTGAGGGAAAAATTATAAGTTACTCTTTTATAATTCTCTTTTGCTCTTTCTGATGCTTCTTGTTAACATCCTCTTTCTCTCTCTCTCTGCATAAACCCCCACCCTATAACCTAAAATGTGTTCAGCTCCAAGTACATGATGCATTGTTAGAGTCCTCTTGGAAAACAGGAAGATCCGCCTGGGCTAGGCAACAAGTAAGATAAGGACATCCATCCAAGGTAAAGCCCCAACAATAAATATAAGATAAGACACTGAAGGACAGGAAACAATGTCATGCTGACCCCAGTTGATAGTTTAGCATCTAGAGAAGAAGGGGTGTGTGGGGGGGGCTTCTTGGGCGTGGCGTGTTCTGGGCAGGGGTATAAAAAGTATTGCTTGAATATGGAGGCTTGCTCTTCTTGTACCCAGTCCACTTGGGGAGGGACTTGAAGGCCCGTTTGCAAACGCTTATTTTCTTTAATAAACCTTTGAATGGTGAACCAGATTTGTTCCTGTGTTGTGAGTATTGAGTAATTCGGTTCTTACCTCTCACAGAACTGAACCTAACTGAATATTTCTTCCAACAAGTGACATCCCCCCCTCAACTTCCTCTGGTTCTCCAGAAGACCCAAAGATGACCTAGACCTCCCATCTCTTCATCTAACTTGCTTTTTTCTTTTTCTAGGGGGTGGGGTGGGTGGGTGGATGGCTTCATTTGTGGAATCCATTCTAGCAAGCCCCCCCCCCCCCCGCTTTCTCAGCAAAAGGATACATCCATCACAGGCACAAATCTGTCCTCGGGTGATGAAGGCACCATGTTCTGGCAGGCGATTTCAATCTCACGGACAGTGCGATGAAGGTCATTGAGGTCAGCTGTTAACGTTCTCTGATTCACTAAGGAGAGGGGGGGAAAAACAGTCCGAAATTTCAACAGCTTCATCTGCACCACCTTCTTCGCGAAGCAAGGAAAGATCTCTCAATAATAGAATAGAATAAAATAGAATAGAATATAGAAGAGAAGAGAAGAGAAGAGAAGAGGAGAGGAGAGGAGAGGAGAGGAGAGGAGAGGAGAGGAGAGGAG